TTGGGGTATCGGGGGAGCAGTAATAGAAAACTGCTTGGGCGATGGGGAAATTAACAGAAATTATTCCTCTTAAAAATATAGCTTCTATACAATATAGCCTCTATATCCTTTTTAATATACTTTTCACTAATTCTTTTACTTGCTTACTTAATCGCTTATATTTAACTTCCGCAATACTTAATCCTTGGTTTTGAACTTCCCGATAAGAAATTTTATCAAGTAAAGAAAGAGGGCAAATATAATAATCGGTTTGGGCTAAATAATCGTGGGCGGACTTTTCCTCGGCTTCGGAATTAACCGCATTTATAACAAAGGCTAATTTATCTTTCTTTATTCCTGATTTAAATAAACTGTTAAACTCCCTAATAGCTGGGTTTAAGTCATCCAAACTAGGGCGAACAGGTTGAATTATCAAATTAGCCACCTTAGCTATTTCTAAACTACCTTTACTCATGCGGGCGGGTCCGTCTATTATTAGATAATCATAATTTTTCTTTAATAGTTCAGGTGGGAAGTAAGGAAAGGACTGACAATTGATAACAGGTTTTATTCCTTGGCTTTGGCGTCTTTCCGCTCATTCTTGGCTGGTTTTTTGTTGGATATCTAAATCAATTAATAAAGTATTTTGTTTTTGTTTAGCGAGTTCCGTGGCTAAACAGCGAGCCAAGGTTGATTTTCCTCCGCCGCCTTTTTGTGATAAGCAAGCAATAATTTTCATATAAAACTATTTTATATACAATATAGAAGCTATAACATATAGAGGCTAGATAAAAATATATTAAAAACATGAACCAAGAAAAATTAAACTCTTACTTCCTAAGAAACTTTGGCTGTGATAGGTGTGGTAATGAATACTATGATGAAACTGCTTATTCTCCCGCTCCCAGTTTAAATGAGATAAATAATTATCCTACTTACTGCTCTAATTGTGTAATTGAGGAGGAGTCTGAACTTTGCTCTTTTATTGACCGCAAAGAAAAAGAAGTAATTGCTTGTCAGCAACCTCTTTTTGATAAAAAGAAGCAATTGTGTCGTTCTCACAATAGCCAAGTCAGAAAAAGATTTAATGAATTTACCAAAGATATGTCGGTTAGTAGCACCGCCGCTTGGTTAACTACTTGGGACCAGTCTAATGATTGGCAGTATTTTTGAAACTTGGTTGAGGAAAAGAAAAAGAAAACAACTCTGAATTCTCCCCAAAGTAATAAAGAGCAAGATAGTTTCAACAAACTTTCCCAAAAAAACTTGTCAGAAACCAAAAAAAAGAAAAAAAGTTTGGGCTTGGCTCCTATCCATGAAACTACTGAAAATATAAAGTCTTTGGAAATAGACAAAAGAACCTTAACCAAAACTGGTCGCACTTATCAGTTAGGAACACGGGTAAAAAAAGAGTTTTTGGAACAATTAAAAGCAATTGCTTATGAGGAAAGGTTGAAGTTAGTAGAAGTTTTGGAAAAAGCCTTAGAGTGTTATGAGAGGCATCGGAGGAAATAATGAGAAAAATGGTAAAAACAATATTATGACTGAACTAATAATAATTAAAACGGACAACAGCGAAAAAGTGCGAAATCTGTTAAATAAGGAACAAATAAGCTATCAAGTTTTTTCCGAGCAAGACCAAAGAGAATTTTCCCAAGAGGATAAATTACTCCAAGAATATCGCGAAGCCTGACAAGACCCCCGCCGCTTAGCCGAGGCAAAACAATGAGAACAAGCCGCCATGACGGATTGAGCCGAACGAGCCAAAAAAAGTAAAAAATAAATGGTGGAACGGATATTTAGAAGAGGAGAAATTTATTGAGTTAATTTGCCTGATAAGGGTGGACATGAATTAAAAGACCCACATATGGGAGTGATAATTTCCAATAATCGCCAAAATCTAGTCAGTCCCGTAATAATCATTTTGCCTCTGACTTCCCGCAAAGAAGGAGATAAAATTTATTCCTTTGAGGTAGAAACTTTTATTAATAATCAGGCTGGTAAAATCTTAATTGACCAAATTACTACGACTGATAAAGTAAAAAGGGTGAGGCAGTTTGTCGGCAAGTTAGACGAAAAGTTGATGATTAAAATTGAGCGAGCAATTTGTTATGTGTTGGCTTTATCTACCGAAGCATTAGTGGAGGAGTTAGACGCAAGAAAGAAAAAAATAATTGGTTAGGTCTAATGTAAATATAGAAGCTATAACATATAGAGGCTAGATTTAATATTATAAAGAAACAAGACATATTTTAATTCTCTTTCAATCATTTCTCAGTTTTCTTTTTTTCTTTTTCATAATCTTTTAACTGTTTTTCCAATTTATCTAACTGTCTATGAAGGAATTTCCGTTGGCTAGTTAGTTTATAGATTTGGGTATTTAAGAAGCGGACATATTCTTTTTTGCGGGTGATTTCCTCAGAGGTGGGTTTTTTAGTTGTCATTAAGGGATTTTTTTCTTAAATTCTCCATAGGTTTCTTTCCATCACTTTTCTAACTCCTCTCTTTCCCTCCCAACCAAATGAGCGAACAAGTAATCTTTTTGCTTTTCCAAATAATAAGGTTCCGTGGGGTAGTTCTTTAAAAAAAACAAGTTCTTATTATCTATATCTAAAGCTATGTAAGGGTTTTCACGTCCACCAATTAAAGAGTTCTTAAAAATGGTATCTAACGAAGTTAACAGGTAGTTTTTTTGTTTAAAAAAGTTAATTCAGTATCTAGTTTTGCGGTCTAGTTTATGACGGTCTTTCTGCCGAGGAGATTTTTGGTAATAAGACGCAAGATATTTCTTCCAGTGTCTATCGTTTTTATTTTTTTGGGGTTGAAAGTATTCAGTGGGATTAACCGATACTTGAACATTTGGACAGTTCATGTGATTATTAACTCAACCCTAACCTTCAGTTAGCTTCCAGAACTGTCCAAGTAACAAAAACTAACTGACCAAGAAACTAGGGTTCAATTAACAATCTATATTATTAATTTAATTTTTTATTCTCTATATCCTATGGTGTTCTCAAATAACTCTTTGGCAATCTCTAATCAATGTTTCTTTTCTTCCTCGTCTTTAACATAACCCGCTTTATTGGGGTCGCAGATAGTATCTAAATCAAAGGCTATCGCGACACCTAATTTAAACACCTTTTCTTCTTCATTACTTTCTAATACTCTTTTACTATACTTGATAATTTCTTTTAAACTTGTGGAAGTAGAATGCTCTTGTAAATAATTGTTAATTTTATCAAGGTCTATTTTGGATACTATGTTTTTTATTTGTGTCGTTTTATTCATGTTAAAAACTACTAAGGCTTTTTACTTACTTTTTTCACCAATCTTTCTAATTCTTTTACTTCCGGTAGGGTTCACAAATAATCTTCAATCTCTTGGGTTAACTTGTCATGGTCTTCATCGTGTAATTTAGCCCAGTTTAAATTAAAATCTCCTAGTAAACAGTGAGCTAATTCGTGAGCTACTGTTTAATCAAATCAGAGAACTCAAAAGCCGAATAAGTTTTTAACCCAGTTAAGCAGTAAGTATAGTTAATATTTAGGTAGATTTCTTTACTAACAAACTCAATATTTCCAACTTTTTCAATAAACAGTCTGGTTCAGCCTTTCCCATTATAATTTATGTCTCAGCCACCAAAGCGAATATAAGAACTAGCGAACGAGTGAACTTGACCATAAAAGCCCGGTTGGGTTAGCCTTATTCTTTGCTGTTGATAGGTTGAGTTAATTAAGTGTTCGAGGAAGATATGAAAAGAACCGCGCATTTATCTTTTTTTGTTTTTTCAACTTCTCCGAGTTCTCTCAATGTCCTCATGACTGCAAATAACTTCTACTGCTGTTAATTGCTCTTTTTTCCCAGCCTTTTTCTCCTCATTTAGTCTTTTTTTTAAACTTTTTACTAGACTATCCCAGTTCTTTTCTTTGTTTTTACTCTTCACTACCATAATATATCTATTTTTACTTCCGCTCCAACTCTCAACTTTCTCTTTCTAAACTCTGTATCTTCTCCCGCAAATCTCTAATCTTACTATCTAACTCAGCTCCTTGCTTGGACTTCTGCACACACTTATAAACTAGCACCGGTCAAAAGAGAATTCACCACCAAAAGGCTCCACTTCATAGTTTACTCTTCTCTCTCTCTCTCGAAGTTGTTGTTTTAATTGTTCTATTTCTAGGGTTAGTTCTTGTTACGGGTCATATACTTTTATTTTTCCTTGTTTATTTAACTAATTTAACATATTACCCATTTCAGTTCTTAATCAGAAAATATAAGCAAATAAAAAAGTAGAGAATGCTAATAATAAGGAAGGCTATTCCCATTAAACTAGTCCTTTGCTCTTCTTTCAAAATAGTGAAGTATTGAATAAAACAAAAGACGCAAGGGAAAAGAGTTAAAAATTTAGCAAATGTTTTATTCATGTTGTTTATTTTATTGATAATTTTAAGTTTTCTAACTCTTTTTTTTCTTGCTCGGTGGCTTTATCCCAGTTTTTTATGATGGCTTTGGCAAGTAAGATTTTGGTTTGTAATTGAATTTGACTGAGTTGCCTTTTTTTCATCTTTTCCTTTGTTGTTATTTATTCGGTTTAAAAGGCGGGGCTTGCTCTATTTGGGCTTCTTGGTCTTTTTGCTCTTGCTCTATTTGCTGATAATGCTTAATCTTTTGTCATTGGTAAAGAGCTTTAGCGATGGTTTTTAATTGTTGTTGGTAATTATCTGCTCTTTGCTTTTCTTTTTCAGCAAATAATTCGGCTCTGGCTTTATCATTTAAGGCTTTTTGATAAGCACTTATTAGGTTAGTGTGGTTTTGTTTATCAGCATGAATTTTGTGCGTTAAATTAGTGATAGTTTTCTTTAAGAATTGGTTATTTTGCTTGTCTGATTGAACTACTGATTTTAAATTGCTGTTCTCAGCTTCCAACTTTCTTATTTTGGCTAATAAAATATTTTCTTTTTGGTTTTCCTGTTCTTTTTCGCTTTTAATAATCCTTGCTGTTTGGGATGGAATTCCGCTGATTACTGATTTGGACTGATAGTTAGTTATGGTTTTTTCTTTTATTTCAGTAAGTAATGATGGGTTATCTTGCTGAATGTGTTTCTTGGCAGGAATTACTGGTTTATCTCTAATAATTGGCTCCAAATTCACGGGTGGTTGTTTTGGAAAATTTTCGGCTGGTGGTTGCGATGGTTCTTTTCCTTTACTTTCTAACCATTTCTTACCAGCGAGAATATTAGGAGTGTTATCATCACCATAAATATTCCGCCAATATAAAGCGGTGGTTCTAATGGAGGAATGCCCTAATAATTTCTGTAAAAGAGGCAAGGGTAAACCTGCTTCGGCCTGATAAGTAGCAAAAGAACGCCGTAGCGTATGAGGGGTCAACTCCACTTTTTCGCTAATATTCAGTTCTCGCTTTATTTTCCGTAAAAAGTGGTGAAAGTTTCAGCGATTAGTTTGATTGGGTTTTCAGTTATTCGCTTTTAGTTCTTTTACAACTTCCTTACTGACATAAACAAATCGCTCTTTCTTGCCTTTTGGCTTATTTATCCGATACAAACCCTTTTTGGTCTTATTTGCCAAATCAAAACTTACTGCCTCATTTACTCTCAACCCTGACTTATAACCCAATAAAAATAAGCCGTAATGAATTCTCCTCTTACTTTCTTTGCGTTTGTTTGGAATCCGCATAATTCTCTCACTAACTTTTTCAAGCAGTTGTAAACTAGGAAGCATATTTCATCTTACGACCTTTTAAGTTTCTTACTTTTTCTAATAATTCGTGCCGGATAGGTTAGAAGTAAAACACTAACCCCCAACAGCAGTAAGCAAATTAAATGTAATTGGTTGATAGTTTGTTCTTTACTTTTTAACTGGGTTTGTAATCGCTGGATAGTGGTTAAATCCTGTTTTGGCACCTCTCTAACTATTATTTGCGGTTCTTTGACTAGATTAAGTTTTTTTTGTAATTCCTGAATAACTTCTTTTTGTTGCTTAATAGTGTTTAATAATTCCTCTTTTTCAGTTAAGAAGTTATTAGGTTCCTGTTGCGGATTATTATCTGACTTATCAGGATTATTATTTACTGGATTAAGCGGTGGTTTATTTCTTAATTCCACAATTATTTGGTCTTTTTCTTTTAATTCCTGCTCTTTTTCGCTTAACTGCGTCTCTAAATCAGTTATTTTCTGGTCTTTATTAGTGATTTGATTTTGTAAGTTCTGTTTATCTTGCTGTAAATTGGTTATTGCTCCTTGGAGTTGATTAATTAAATTGTCTTTATCGGTGATAGTTTGCTGTTGTTCGTTAATTTGTTGCTCTTTATTTAACAAAGAGTTTTCCAAAGACCTTATTTCGGATTGGTAAAGTTGATTATCACAGTTAAAACTGCTGATTAGAGTGCGAGCATTAACTAACCTCTTAATGGTTTTGTCTTGGAGACCAGTTTGCTTTTTTAGTTGACTTTTATTCTGTTGTAAGCGTCTTTGGAGTTGGTTATTTTTCTTGCTTTGTTGGTTAAGTTCTTTTTCTAACTTTAATAGTTCACAACAAGAGAAATTTAATTTATCTTGGAGAAATTTTTGTCAATTACCATTAACTTTTGCTTGGTGTTCTAACTCCAATTGTAAGTAATCAATAGTTTTCCATAACTCCTCCTCATTGTCTTGTCATTCTTTTAACTGGCTTTTTAATGAGGTGTTTTGCTGGTGATATCATTCTATTTCTCCTTCTAGTTCTAATATTTGTTGCTGGAATTGGTCTCGAAGTTCATCATAGAGATTTTTTTCATGCTCTAATTGGGTAGATAAAAAAAGATTTTGCTGTTTAAAGTCGATGTCTCAATCAAAGTTTTTATCTTCCGAGGGAGTGGGGGTGTTGCCCCATTGACAGTGAGAATAAGAATGAGTGGTGTTTAACTTCAATTTTGCTCTCTCTCTCTCTCTCTCTCTCTCTCTACTCCTTGCTTTGTTGAGCTTTTATAACTCCCTTTATCTTTATGGGATAGGGAAGAAGGTGATTGATTATTTTTTTGGAATTGATAAGATTTTCAGTTTAAGTTAGAAGCTTTTTTAGATTTTTTGACGATGGGCATATAATGTTATTTTAACTAATGGAATAAAATTGATAAAAAAATTTTAAATCCTAATCAGCGTAATTCCGCACACAATTCTTACAAATCCCATATTCCTTATCTAATTTCTTAACCATTTCCCCGCATTCGGAACCAACATAATTTTCCTCACCAACTTTTTTTAAAACTCTTTCACTGGGAAGCATATAACCAATTTTAAACCAAAACAGGCAAAGTTCCTTATAAAAAACTAAGCAAAAAACCAACTCCAATATAAAACTCACCTCCCAATAAAATCCAAGCAAAAACTCCGTAAAAATCACTAACCATTTATCAACTTTACTCACTGCTATTTAAGAATTATTCACGAGATAACATTATGGATGAATTGTTAAAAATAAGTTGCGACCTCTTTCTCTAATAACCTCCTCAATAAGGACAAGCCTTCCCTCTCCCCCTTACTTTTCATAAAACTTTTATCAAGAGCCAAAGAAAGGAGACATAGAGAATAGATTAAGAGATAAGTTTTGAATTAGAGAATAAGAACCCGCTAAAACCTTATAAAAAAGAAAATTAAAAATAAAAGAAAAAACCAAAAAAGGGCAAAAAACGGGACTTAATGGCTATTTTTGCTTATTAAAATAAGCAAGGTGTAAAAATAGGACAAAAAAAACGCCATACTACCCCCCTCGCCTCACTTCGGAACTAAAATAAATATATAGGTTTTAGTCTCCTATATTTTAGTTCTCATTTTCAGAGGTCGGCAAGTTAAGATTTATAGTTTACTAGCTCTTCACAAATCCGCTTACTCTAACTAGATTACTAGTTTGGGCGGGTTGTGCTAGAAAGGAACCTTATCGGCTCCGCTATTTATTGCCCTAGTTCGTAATCAAACTAGTTTGTTTTGGCTGATAATTCTGTCAGCTTCTAAATATGGCAAAACGGCAACTTAACTTCCGTATTGGCTCGCCATCAGTTCAGTTGGTTTTCTTTGCTGATGGTGGGAATAATGAGTTAATTTCCCAAGAAAAGAGTTAAGAATTATTTCTCAATTCCTTTGTTCGAAAATTAGTCTCCCAATGACTTAAAAAAAATGCCCCCTTTTCTGAAATATAGAAGCTATATCATATAGAGGCTATAAGGTAATAAGAGAGGGAAAATTTTTCGCTTTTTCCCTCTCTTTTCTGACTTTTTAATTTATTTTCTTTATTTTGCTTTCAAGAATTAGTTTTTTTGGTATAAGCAACTACTTCTTGGATATTTTGCGAAATTTCCATGAGTTATTTACTCTTTCTAACCAGCCGACATCGGAACTAGGAAATTTCGCTAACTCTAAAACCGACTGGCTAGTTAGAAACAATAAACAACTTTATTATATATTTATTATTTTTGTTTTAATCTTCTTCTACTTCGTTTCTTTTTTTACCTCACAGATAACCAATTGCTAACACCACAATTCCAAAAATCACTAAGCCACCAACTAAAAGCGGAGTATTATTGCCAGATTGCTTATTATCCTTAACTGGCGAACTTCCATGCTGAATAAGAGTTTGGAGATAGTGAGCGTTCTGCTGCTGGTTATTATTCCCCTTAGCAACTAATTTTTGAGCATATTCTAATAAATCCATCAAAATAGTTCCTTTTCAAGAATTAATTCTTATTTTTTTATCTTTAACGCCTTTTACTAGTTTTCCAAACTGTTCGCTAGTTAAATTATCTAAATTTTTAGCCGACAAAGGATTATTTTCGCAATTTAGATATTCCAAATTAGAAAAAGTGCTGAGTAAATGGGCGAAATCTATTTCTTTTATCTGATTGCCAAAGAAGTTTATTTTTTTTAATTGCTCTTTGTTCGGTAAAGTATTTAAAAAATCCAAACTTTCAAATTTGTTGTTATAAGAATTTAGACTGATTAAACCTGTAAATTCTTTTAAATCAACATTACCGGACAAATCTCGGTTGCTGATGTCTAAATAACGAATTTTTGCCTTATTAGTAATTAAGTTAATTTGTTCTTGGGCGTTGTTAGACATATACTTAGTTTTTAGTTTGGTTTTATAGGTGTTTGCTTTCTTTTTCGCTTCTTTTGGTAATGTTCTTTTTGCTTTTTAGTTAGTTTTTTGCCTACTCTTTGCTGTCAACTGTAATGAGTAGGGGCGAAATTTTTGACATGAGCTAACTGTTTTTGCTCTCGTTCGGTTTTTTTCGGTCTTTTTTTCCTTCATCCAATTAATAATTTCAGTGGGAGTTTTAGGACTTTTAAAAAAGCAAAGAATATATTCACACTTGCCTAAATAATAAATTCTCCCTCACTGGGAGCATAAACACTTACTACCTTGCGGTAAGTTTTAAAGTTTTGTTCTTTTTCCTCAAACTCTATCTCTACTTCTTTTATATTTTCTCAATTAGTTATTAACTCATTTCAACCACTTTTCACTGTTCCCTCAAAACAAAAAAAAGCTTCGTCGGGGTTGTCTTGGTTGACAATTAGGTAATAGGTGTTAAAGTTTTTATCCTCTAATTTTTTGATAGTGATATTTTTCAGATTAAGGGTTGGCATATTTAATAATTTTTTCTAACTCTGATATCCAGAGATTTTTTGTTGGAGTTCTTGGAACCTAGACTTTTTTTTAAAAAATAATAGTCCTAGATTTTAGGGATTTTGCTTGCGGATAATAGGAAAAAATTATTTGCTTATTCTTTGAATAAAACTAAATAAGAAAGAATTGGCTGGATAATAAGGTTTTTCTTAAAGAATAATTGCTGGATGTTTAGGCTATTTTTGCTAACTACTTTGCTTTTAAACTCCATTTTTCCTTTCTTTCTTTATCAGCAAAAATAGCCATTGGTGGGGGAATTGTTTTAGTTTTGATAGTGTTAGTAGGTGTTGTTTGGGTGAGGAGGAGGAAGAAGTTTAAAAAGTAAGAATTGGGGGAGCAAGAGTGTTCCCCTTAATAATTAAGCCCCCAACCTAATTATTAGAAAAAGAAAGAACCAAAGAAAAACCAACCTTTACTTCGTAAAGGACAAAAATTTTCCCACTTTTCCCCCTAAATTATGGGCATTCCAGCCGTGGGGGTGGTTCAAAATAGTGTGAATAACAAAATATATAGAACGCACAGAAAATAATTTTTTTTTTGCTACTTTTTTTTATTTACGCAATAGGCGGTGGTAAAACACTAAAATATATTAATAATTAACTTTAAGAATATTATTTACCTAAAATAATTAGGGAGTTAGAAAATATGAAAGACCTATTAAATAAAAGCAACAGAGAAAAGAACCTATTTAAGAGTTATTATTGTGCTGGTTGTAAACAAGTTAAACCCTGTGGAAAACTGACTAACTGAGATAGTGAGTGAAAGAGCTATTGTTGCCATTGTTTTTACCAAACAGAACAAGCCGAAGCCAAGGAATATTCTAATTATCAGCAAGTTTATCAGCAAAAAGTTTTGGAAAGAGAAGCAAGAAATAAGCAATACCGATTATTAAAGAATTATCAAGGGTGTAAGAAGTGTGGGAGTTTGGCAGTTGATGCTTATGATTTGCATGAGAATAACCGATTAGTTTGCCAGCCTTGTCGGATGAAAAAAGAGGGTGGTTCGTCCAGTCCGATTAGTTTTGCAGAACAGCAAAAGTGATATAAAAAAAGGTGGGGAATTAACTTGACTGAATGGTTGGAGAATTATGGGTGTTTACCAGTTAATTATCATTGTGCTGATAAATGGTTAAAAGATAAGAAACATTTAGATAATTGTCAGTGTTTAGAAATAGAAGCAAAAGGACATTATTTATTAGTTAATGATAATTTAAAAAGAAGTCAGGAAAGATTAAAGGAGTGTAAATGTATAAAGAGCGAAAAAGTAAGGGTTAGCAGTGATGATTATACTGAATGTGAGAGGTGCGAAAAAACTATTTCGGTAGCTAGTAAAAAAAGAGTAATAAAAAATAGAAATGACCCACGATTTTGAGGAATAAATATTAGGGCAAAAATATTATGCGGGAATTGTTTAGGAAATTTGGTAGAGAAAATGCCAACTAGAAAAAAATATTTGTTTGGTGAGTATAAAAAAAGAGGATATTGGGGTAAAATCTAAAAAATAGCGTGAGTAATCAGAAAAACCAAGCAGAAAGAAAAGTTTGATACTGAATAAAAGTTGCTTCTTTATTAGTGGGGTTAATTAGCGGTAGCGTCCTAATTTATCAGTGGTGAACTAGACGCCAGCAATTAGAAAGTTTAAAAGCCCAATTAGAGCAAAAAAAGCAAGAAGCCCAGCAGAATTACCAAGCCCAAAAAAATTATTTGGAACTAACCGCTACATTAGCGAAAAGTCCTCAAATACAGGCTTTTTTTACTGATTTACTGACAACTTACGCCCAACGCTTTGCGAATAGTCAAAACCTTGATATTTCTCACACTCCACTAGTTTTTGAAGGACTTTATTGGGACAAAAAAACAGGACACGGCTTCGGGGAAATGGGTCGCTGTTTTCGGCAAACACTCTTTTATCCTCGCCACGAAAAAAATATTGCTATTGGTCTTAATCGCTTATATTTATTGAATAAGTTTGACAATAATCGCTACTTTCCTAATTATCCCCAAGGAGATTTTTCTTATTTAGATATTAGTTTTGTCAGTATGATTAAAACTTGTTCGCATGAAATCGCTCATTATATTCAGTTGATTAAGCATGGCAAAAGTAGTTGCGAAAGTGATTTAAAGCTTAATAATGGTAAATATAACGCTGAATTAGCGAAAGAGCATAAAGAATTCACAGGGGAAATTTATGGGATGGTTAAGAATTCGGGGGAATATTCAGAGTGAGAAAAAAGATGGAAAGAAATTAAATAAAGCCAAAAATAATTCCTACATTCCTGGCTATTATGTGATAATTAAAACAAGAACAAGGGTAAAATCGCTCTTAATCCTCACCAAAGAGACAAGGTTAGGTGTCAGAAAGGTTGGAATTAAATATAGAAAGAGGTCGGGAATAAATTTTAAGAAAGTTCACTAATTTATCAAAAAGCACAAACACAGATGTGTGAAAAAAGGGAAAAAAGGGAGGATTAACCCCCCTCCTCCGAACACTCCAAATGTTCGACGATTTTAATCAAAAATTCAAGCCATAAGCAGTTAACTTCCGCCCTAACCGAGCGGAAAAAAACTCCTCTTTATTAACTTCGTTAGCATAATCACTAACTCACAGACGATAATTGCCCTGGCTAATATCTTTGACTTTGGCAATTAGTTAGTTGTTTGAAGTGTTTAGGGAAAAGATATTATGAGAAATTGGAGAAAGGGAAACAGAAGACATTGAATAAGTATGTGCGGAGAGGTTATGTTTAGCAAAAATATTAAATATTAATATATGAAGACTTGAGAAAAAATTTACTGAGGAATTATTGGAGTGTTCTTTGTTCTTTCTCTATCTCCTTTACTCAGTTCGGAAGAATTAATAAAAGTCACAATCAACGGACAAGACAGATTAATTTCCCGACTTGCTTATTTTGGTTATGATTTACTAGGTTTTGTAATTATCTTTGTCCCTGTCTGAGCAGTAGTGCGATTAATTGTGAATAAAGGTTGAAGTGAAAAAGACAAGAGAGAGAGAGAGAATAATTTGGAAAAATAAGTTAATATGAGAGAAATAATAATCATTGAAACTAGCCAAGCACAACAAGTAAAAAAACTTCTAGAAAAGGCTCACATAGATTATAAAGCTTATCAAGAACCCAAGCACGTTGTTCAAAAGACAGATATCTTTGCTAAGTATGGAGAAGCGATAAAGAACCAAGAAAGAGAAAAAGAATTAAGACTATGAGATAATGCCGACCTAGACGAGCAACTAAATGCTGATGGTGAGTGGTGAAGTTAAAAAAGGCGAAGTCTACTTATAGAGAATTTGCGGGAATTTGTAAAGTCTGAAAATGGGAAAAATTAAGACCACAGGATTAATTGGGGTATCGGGGGAGCAGTAATAGAAAACTGCTTGGGCGATGGGGAAATTAACAGAAATTATTCCTCTTAAAAAT